AAACTATTAGTAATGTATTTTTATCCTTATTCTTTATATTGAAAATTATACATGTATTGTTCAAAATATATATGGTATTTTTATTAACTGCAGTACATTTCTGAAGAGTTTTATATATTTTATAATTAGACGAATTAATAACTCTATATAAATAGCTTATATTGTGCTATTCTTCTTAGATATAATTATTAAATTCAATCGTTAGAAAAATAACAATTAGTATATATAAATAAGAATAATTTAAAAAAATTGTTTCTGTGTATAATCCTCCGTGAAGAATAAAGTATGATATACTAAATTATTTAATAATATATTAAACAATAATGATATTCATGTTATGATATGTATATATTTGTTTTCAATTTTAGTTAGGAAAAACAAAAAAATATATTTTATTAATAATAAATAAGTTAAAAATATATATGTCTTCTCTCAAATTTAATATAATTTTCCAGCTACAATGACATAAATAAAATTCTCTGAACCTGGTAATAAAAAAGATTTACTACAAAAAATAATATTTTTTAAATTATTACATATTTATTATTTTCTATTTAATTCAGGATTTTATAGAGTCCCATATAACCTATTTTATATTTTATAATATTTAATATATAAATAAGATATTATTTTCTTAGCAATATTATAATATTCAATTGAGTGAATATTATTAAAGTATTAATACAGCATACATTTCTAAATAATTAATATGTTATATTAATAATTATTTCTAATCACATTAAATTAACACACTTCTTATTAGTTCACATATAGAATGTATATTTCAGAAGTATATTTGAAAATTCTTTTATATATAATATTATGTTCTATTATATACGTGTATCAATTTTTTACTTATTTAATCTACATCAATTTATGAAATATTACGAAATATACTTTAAAATAATTGTGCTTTCTTTATAAGTATTTTTTAAATATACTAAAAAGTTATCATGTTCTTTTTTAAGCGTTGTTGCTTGTATTTTTATTAGACTTAAGATTGCTTAAATTTATTATAACATTCCATTCATATTTTCACCAAAATAATTTTCTTATACTTAATTATTTTATAAATTATATGTATATAATTAAATTATATAGTGTTGTGTACAAAGAGAAATATATTCTTAAAAAATGTAATGTATGTGGTTTAAATATTGTATTCACGTAATTGAATTAACTAACAAACAATATTTGATAAATTAATACATAAAGTCTATTTATTTTGTAACCATTAAATATCGAATATTCTAATAATGATATAATAACAAAAAATTAATATACAAATGAATATAATATGTTTTGTCTATGAACAAGTAATAGTAGCTTAAATGCATTATTTATATTTTTCTATCATAAGAAATTCTAACATATTATAAAATTTTCTTTTTCAGGAAAATAATTTTTATTTATTCCTTTTAAGAACCCTTATTTACAATGAGAATACATATATCAAATATAGTTTCATATTAACCAATATCATATTAATGGATTTATTTAAAAACATTTTTTTTATTATAATGAAGAATTATTAAATTTATGTATTTTTTAATAACGCCTAACTACCAACATTTTGCAATATTTATCTATTTCTCAATCATAAAGTGCAAAAATATATATTCACTGATTTGCAAAGTATAAATATATATTAAATAATAACTTTTAAAATTATTTCATAAATACACTCATACATGTTCTTATACTTAGAAACTACATGGGCATTGTTATATATTTTTGTCTTTATTCTGACAAAGGGTATATATTATATAGAGATTAAAAATATTTTGTATCCTTATATACATCATTATCGCTTTCTAACATAATCATTAATTTCTCAATATATGTAATTCTCGTGATGTTATAACTGTTTATATTGACATTAATATATATTTCTTTCATATTATTAGGTAAACATTAAAAAAAACACTTAATAAAATTTTTCTTTTTATATTGTTTAGAAATAAAATGGTTTCCAGATAAGTTTATCATTTATGTTATGCATAATTCACTAAATTCAAACATTGAAAAATTATCGTTTTATTATACAGTAGTTTATCTCTTTTCGTCATAGCACTTCTGTAAGTATTTACAAGGTACATTAAAATCCAAACTCGTAGGTAAAAAAAATAATATTTAAATAGTAAAAGTACATGGTAATACAAATTTATCAATATTTTTTACTTCTCATACGTGTAATTAATATATATATTTATATTGAAGATAAATGCAAAAATGTACTAGTTATATATACATAATAAGCAATTAAAGTAAGTTATATATATCTGAAAAAAAATAATTTAAATTATATAACAATGGTGAACAATAAAAAATGGTTGAGTAAATAGTCTATCAAGATAATAACTGTAATTATATTTACTATATTCTAAGTATATATATACAATATTCATCATATTCTTCTTGTTACTGCTACTTTGTTATTGTTATAAAAATTCGTTTTAAATTAATTATATAACAATTCTTATGAATTATAATGTAAAATATAATAATATAATATCTTATATATAATTATAAGCTTAATTATATAATTATTTCCTTTCCATATAATTTTCATCCCAGTTCAACTTTTCAAATATAAGGAAAAAAAAAAAAAAAATACATTTTGTTCTATTTATGGAACATTTCATCGAAGATTAAATAAATAATTATTTAGAGAACATAAATTGTTTCTCAGAAAAATAAGAAAATTATATTAGATTATTACATTAAATGATATTAACCTAAAAACTGAATACAAAAAATTTTGAATATAATTAAAACATTCTTAATTATAATATTAAATAAAATGTCCTATATTGAATTACAGAAAGGAATATAAAAATTATATTCGTAGATAATAATTTATCTTGTCTCAGATGATATAACACTTATTCATATATAAAAATAATCATAGGTTATATAACTATGAATTTTAATATTTCAATCTAATTCTTTATATATAATACCTAAATTCAATAAATATGATTATTATATGATCATCTCCCACAAAAAAATTTATTTCTTGAGGTTATTATCATAATTCAATTATTAAAGATAATATTCATTTATTTTATTTTACTTATATTATATATCCATATTCTATTATTATTAAAACATGTAATTCTTCATTATATAAACAATTTATGCATAATAACAATAGATATAATTATTGTAGTAATTGAATATATAATGCATTATTATTATTTATATTGAGTAATTTTTTAGTGGTATTGTCACTCATGACAAATAAAAGCATACACTTCTCTTAATTAATACAATGCAATCAAAAAAATTTTAAGGGGTTATATAAAAAATTAAATATTTTTATGTTATTTACATTATAGCATAATTGCTTTGTACACAAATTTTTATTTTTATTTTATATTTTACATATAATGAAATAATTCATTAAAAAAAAAAAACTTCAAAAAATAATATCTGTATTTTTATATGATTATGTTTCATCGTGAGAATAATTTATATCTCATATAAAATAAATTTTATATTTTAAAGAGCAAATAATATTATAAGTTAAATAAACTGTGTGATTATAATATTCATATAAATATATATTTTAATTATCTATTTCATTTTAAAAATGGGTTATATATTACATATTTGATGTTATTTCCTAGTCTAAATATTGCATTTTGCATATTGGAAATGAAAATGAAAAAATTGATATTATTATGAAATATCCATAGGAAGTTTATTCATGAATAATTCAAAAGCATACTGTAATTAAATTAAATATTTTATATTATCCATTTCATAAGAATTTAATATTTTATTTTTCAAAAAACACATATACCACTAAAAATTATTAGTTATTAAAAATACGAAACAGTTTAACTTATATATAGTAAGTAAAATTAAAGAATATATATATAAGGCATATACAAAAATTATTTTTCTAAATAAAAACTAGATAATAATAAAAACAGCATAAATAGAAATCTGGATAAAATATTTTTAATTATAATATAATAATAATAACTTCATATATTGGTACAAAAGATTTATTAATATTATATTAGTGCTTATTAATAAAATATTAACAAATAATGAATGAAACAATAAAAATATTAATAGTATCTGCAAATATTATAAAATAAGCAGAACTCTATATATCCATCCCTTTTATATATATATATTTTATTAATTTATAAAATATCATATGTTAATATTAACTCATATACTGTAGAAAAATATATATATAATGTTCTAATACATATCAATATATCCCATAATAAAGCTTATAATATAATTCATAGCATTCCAATTAATATATAGAAATAATAATCTTATTGTGTTTGGCTCCAAGAAAACTTGTAGATTTATACTAATTGATAATAAAGGATACTGAATTATAAATAGTAAACAGTAAAGTCTTAACCCTAAAAATAATCCTGAAAACTAAACACTGAATAAGATTTTACGTTTATTACATTTTTATGAATTTATATAAAATAATAATAATTATACATTCATAGCAATAAAAAAAAAAAGAATATACTTATTTTTCAAAAATTATATTATAAAAATAATATATTTAAAAATATTATTTATAGCACTTAATCATTAATAAATAATCTATAATCATTAACATAAGATATAAATCCTTTGTCAAAAAATTCAATTAGAAAATTTAAAATCATGAACTCTGAAAACTAATGTATTATAGATGTTTTTATTGTCGTATTTTATCAAACAATGCTATTGTTCTTATTATGTAAGCGTTATAACCTTGTTTTCCTTTTTCTCCTTAAAACAATTAAAGATTAATACAAAACATCACAAATAGTACCATATTTTAATTACAATAAAAATTAATGATTATTTTAGTCTAATTAATTTTTCTATCATTTGCATAATATTAATAAAGTATAAATATTATTTTCTAATATTATATATAATTCTTTTTAATTTTTTTGGAGTATATGTGCGAGTATGCTTAAATTTTTAAAACACATAATCATAAAAGTTATATAGTCATTTTTATGATGAGTGAATATAATGTAGGATAGAATTATTATAATATCAATTACAATATTATAATAAACGCATACATTATTTTCCTTTATATTTATATAATTTTTTTCATATGTATATGATTCTTGTATTACAATTATTTTTTCTACATTTTAGTATGAAAAAGTATATTCCTTATTTCCTGAATGTGAAAAATTTATGCGGGAAGAACAGATTTTTTTTAATAATAATTGGGAGACTTACTGTGAGGAATTTGAAGACAACTATTCAGATATACTTGCTCCCAGTGTTTCAAATATATGTTCTAAATCTATTGAATATTTATTTCAAATATTTACTTCAACTGAAAACTCATCACTGAAAAATGTTGCTGTACAATACTTGTATTATTGGATAAATCAAAAAAAACAGACAAATGAAGAGGATAATACAGGAATTAATAAATTTTATGAAAAATTGATTTTAAACGCTAAGGAAAAAGATATAGAATTTTTGAAGCATTATAATAATTACCTAAAATATAATATTGAGGATTTAGAAATAATCAATGATTTATACAATATTAAAACATTAATTAATAACATAAGTTCTAATAGTAGAAATCCTACTGGCAATGAAAAAAATTTTGCGAAAGAATGTGAAAAAAGATATAATCGTCTCTATAAAATATGCGAAAATACGCATAACGCTGATTTATGTGATGAATTCAAAAATATTAGAAAAAAACTTCGTGATCATAATATTATTAATAAATATCATATAAGTATACCAGAAATGTTATCTTATTTGGAAAAACAAAACATAATAGTTCCTATTTTAATTCCTATTGTTATAACTTTATTAGTATCATGCCTTTTAATTTATATATATAAAGTTAATAATAAAAAAATATATTTACCCAATAAAAAAATTGTTAAAAGAGAAAAAATATATAATAATATTTATATTCTTATAAAATTATATTACTAAATTAATGTATTTTTTATTATTATTATTAGTTCACACCACATGGCTCATACTTGAAATATGCTGTAAAAAGTATAAGAAATAAATTTAAAAATACATATAAAAAATTGGATACAATGCATTCTTATGAAAATTACGATAACAACTCATGGAAAAGGGGATATGATGTGTTATATAATTCTGCTTAGTTGTAGTATTAAATATAAATTATAAAAATATATTACATTTAAATGGTATATAAAATGAAGGAATTAAATATTTTCAGATTGATTCTATTAGTATTTTCATATTAAAAAAAATAAGACTTGTAATAAAGTTTTGGATTATTTGGGAAATATAATATAACATTTATTCAATAAGAAGAATGCCAAATGATATAATCCATCCTTTCATAATGAATGAATAAATATGGAACTTATATATTTAAGAAATTTACCTTTTTTAATATTCTACAGCTTGTATGAATAAAATTTTTTCTTTTTATTAAGTGACATCACATAAATATAATAATTTAACAGAAATGAAATAAAACATATATATATACATCCCGATATTCTACTATATAATGGTATATACAAATTAGTATTCAATTATAAAATAAAAATTATGAAAAATAATTTATAGTGAAAATTATTTTTATAATATACTTATGGAATTTTTTCACAGATTATAAAATGTTTAAAAAAAATTTATAACATTAATGTGTAAAATTTTATAAGATACATGATTTTTAAGGCACATGTTAGGGCATGAATAATAATATGCTGTTTATTGTTATATATTTTTTATTTAATTTAATATACTGTTTTATATTACAATACAAATATATTTTTTTTATATGATTAATATTGAAAATATCCATAACCTACATAATAGTAATTATGCTAATCTCTTATGTACATTCATTTAATGCAAATACAATTTAATTTTCTTTAACTATAAGGAAATTTACTTTTTTATATTTTATATATAACACAAGTGAGTCCTTTAACTATAACTTATTAAAAAATATTTTTATATCTAGAAAAAATATTATGCAATAAGCTATCAATAAGTGATAATACACAAAAGTCATTACATATATTGTATACATCATTATAAAAAAAAGTGAAAAGCTTAAAATCCATTACACATAATAAATTAGAAAAAAAAATTTACATACGTATAAAAAAAATTATAAAATTAATCATAAAATGAAAATATTTACATGTATTTAAAGTAATATATATAGACAAAAAATATATATATTCATTTTAAAACATTATTAAAGAAAATTGGTTATCATATAATATGTAAATATAACTTCATATAATATTTATAGTTCCAAATTTATGTTATACAATAAATATAACATTCATCATAATAATTTCTTATTCACACATTTCATTAAACATTCGTTCTAGTTTTTACTTTACGCACGAAATACTTCATTCTATCCATTCATGATATATGTAGTATTATATATAATTAAATCGAGTACACTTATAGTAAATAAAATGTATAAAAATCATATTTCATGTAAAATTATTCATACTCATTCAATAAAAGGATTCTTATGTATTTTTATATTATTTATAAAATACATAAAATTAATGTTAATTACTTTCTAAATAATTATACACATAGATAGTAAGAATTTATATTTGCTGAAAGGATATTTCTATTGTGATCACACAGTATGTTAAATTTTTATAACGAAAAATTATATTAAAAATATAAGTATTTTGAATATATGTAATCTTACTTTTATGTTGTATATTATAATATATAGGAAAAAAGAAGAGTGTGAATTACTAAATTTATTATTAATTCTAATGCATAAGTAATGAATGTTTTTATTTAGTATATATTTTCCATTTCAAGAAAAAGGTAATGCCATAGTTCTCACATGTATATTTATTTATGCTAATAATGATATTTTTCGTGTTAATTCATATATATATTCTACATATTACATTATATATAAAAATTTGGTCTTGTGTATTTTTATGATTTTATAACATAACATTTTCCAGTATTCTTCTTTATATATATGATTTTTTAAATGTATGATAACAAATTTTATAATAAATATAATTTTATTTTATCTATATGTTATAATCATAAATTAAATTAAAGGCTAATACTTTTTTTGACAAACAGAGCCATTAATTTACATTAGGATAGTAGGTTATAATTAATACAAAGCATTATACATCATATGAGTATAAATACTTAAGTTAAATATGTGTTAATGCATATAATTAAAATATGATTCTTTAAAATATACTACCTTCATAAAGAGAATAATATTATACGATCTTTTACTGTTTGTTATATTACATATTCACTTGTTATACATAATTTATACAAAATAATATTAATTGAGATATTACGTAATTATCATGCATTATTATGTTTATTATCACATTTAATATATAATATATATATATGATTATTATACTCTTAGAAATATTTATTTTTATGCATATATATATGTAATGTTTTAACTTATGTTCAACTGATCTGGTTAGTGGAATTCTTTAAATGTAATTCTAATTAAAGGTTTTATACGAAATATAGAGATAATATATCAAAATATTATAGTTATTTTATTCTTAATTAATTCAAATTTAATAGAAAAAATAATTTATTTTGTTCTAAAATAAATATATTACTACTGTACTATTTTTCCATATCAAATATTTATATATACTAATATTTAAAAAAAAATAGATTATTAAACATATAACAATTGACTGGGAAGAATATGTATTGGGAGAGAACATTTTTTATATTAAATTTATATCTGAATCGCATTATGATATTATTCATCACACATAAATTTACTATTCCAGTTGAAAAAATATCACATAATGTATATGTATGTTTTTTATTATTAACTATCCGTTAAGGTAATATTATAATATATAAAGAAATAAATATATAAACAGTTTTAAATTTTAGTACATTGTTTTACTGTATGCATAAATATAAGATTAATTTAATCCTAATAAATATAAATAATTTTAAGTATAATCACAGTTATAATATAATAAACATAACTATAAAATACTAAATTCTGAAAAACATTTGTGAAATAACATAAATTGTGAAAACAAATAACGCATGTTGTTATTTTTATTGTATTTATTATATATATATATATATATAAAGAATAATATAAAATATACATATATAAGCTTATATAATATAACAGAACTAAAGTTAATATATTTTTAAATATATAATGAAAATAATACATATTTATATATTTAACACAAAATTACTGTATAGAATAACTCATATTTAATGAAATATATGAAACAACAAAAAAATGCACATGATTAACAAAATATAACTAAATATCATGTAAATTATTATAAATAGTATTATTAATACTTCTTATTTTTATGTATAATAATATAAATATTAAGTTCTGAAATTAAGTGCAAATGTAAAAGCACATTTCAAAAAAGCGAAAATAAAAACAAAATTTTAAACACTATTCCTAAAATATAATATCAAATGTGAATCCTATTTCACTAAAATATTATATTATTAAATAGAAAAATTAAAACCTTTTATTAATTTATGTATTCTGTGAACTAATTTATTTTTTTCTCTATCTCTTTTACAAGAGAATTCTTAAAATAATTTGTTTACATTTTTATATATTAGTTTTATAGAAATCAATTCATTTTAATTACATATATACTTATTAAATTATGTGGAGCTATATAACACATTATAACTACTATTCCAATAAATACTTTTAAATATTTCTGAGTTTTGCGATTTATTCCTTTCTTCTTTGAAACGACGACATTTATTTATTATCTTTTTTATTACTCCATGCAAGGATGAATTATATGGCAAAAACTAATTTGTAATAAAATAAAATTATGCTTTAAAAATATATTAATATTATAAATTTTTTTAATTTATTAAAAATATTATTATATTATATAAATATATATATCCACAACACATTTAACCTTATAAATTATAAATAAAAAATCTGATGTTATTAATAATATGATTGTTGATATTATAGCATTTTTTTTTTTCCTAGTTGTGTTGGATGTTATGATTATGCTTTCAGTTTTTTTACAAGCTGTAGATTGACATTTAGCTTGAACACATATATCAGATGATTTTTGTAAAATGCTTAATTTATCATTAATATATTTTAATGCTTCACAAAACAATCTTCAATTCGTGGGTTCACAAGTTTTATGGTAAAATTCATACTTATTTAAATATTTAGAAATCAAATCGCACTTGCTTATTCCAGAGGTATAAGGATTATTGTTTATGTAATAAATATTATTATTCATATCATATAAATCATCCAGTATTTGTAATGCACTATTTGAAATAGTAACCCAATTATAATTATAACATATATTTTTTACATATTTATATTTTATTCTAAATAGATCCTCATAAATACCTTGGGTTTTATCACTATTACTACTAGATATAAGTATTTTGTATAACCAATAATATAAGTAAAAAAATTTTGCATGTTCGTATATTTTATAATCATTATTCTCTATATTATACACAAATGATAAGGCCGCGTTACATTTTTCCAAAGTAAAGTTATTATCAATTATACTTTGTGCTCCAATAAGGCCATTAGTACAATGATCACCATGATAGTCCAAAATGTTATCAAAACTTTCTATAGTTTTATTAAATTCAGGAAAATTTTTTACGAAAGTGTACTAAAAATGAATAGCAAATATATAAAAAGCATAATATTTTCATAAACTAAATTTTTATATTGCTTTTGGAAAATGGAATATTTATATATATAATAATTGTGTAAATTATATATTATTAACAATAGGTTACATAAAATTTATCCATGGCACATAAGATTATATATTTTTAGGGATGATCTAGTAATATTATTATTGTTTTGAAATATATGAATAATATATATTATAAAACAAACACATAGAATAAGGATACGTACGATTTTTTATTTTAATCATTGAATTTATATAAATTTGTCACATATCGTTATATTATTATTAATTATACTGCTATTAATATAGCAAAAAATACAAGTGGCATATAATACATATTAAATACTAAAACTCCCAATATAAAAGAATAAATACTTAATTTACAAAAAATAACCTATATCGATTTAAAATGTAACTTAATTATAATTTTTTGATAAAATAAAATTAAATAATTTTGATAATCCTTCATTTAATGTGTATATATATAATGCTAGTATGTATTATTACTTTTAATATATGTAAAATTATATGTTTAATAATCAACGTTATATTTTATTGATATTATTATATATATTATAATTAACACGTTTGCATTTTATGTATATACATTGCTAAATTATATATATCATAAAATAATTATTTGTATTCTTAGTACTCAGATGAATTATTTATAATCCAATGAATAATGTTTATAAATGTCTTAAAATATTATAATATTTAGTAAAATTTTAATATTCAATATAAACTGATACTTATTATGAATATTTTTATTTTTTTATTTACATGAACAAAACTAATACATTTATTATGGAAATTTAAAAAAAGGAGAAAATAAAATATAATAATATGTTTATAATGATTCAAATAATAATATTCTGTAATATATAATTATGTTCTGAGAAGTATTTGTTATAATTTACATTTTCCTTATAAAGAAAAATATATACATTAATATACTATCTTATTTTCTTTTTTAAAATAAATAATAATATTCATTATATATGTCTCATATAAAATAACACAAAAATATATATATAATATATATGAAATTTTTATATTCAATATTTTTTTTTGAAGATAATTAGAGATTAGCTCTAATTTTAAACGATAAATATATATACATGTAGATCATAGTAAAAGCGTGAAGCATAGGTGGAATCATATAAGAAAATATAAAAAAAGTAATTTATTATGGTATGGGGATAAAAAATATTAAAAAATAATAACAGTATGTGATCATATGTTTATGGTTACCTAAAGCAAATTTCTAAATGAGGTAGAATATTTAATATGATCTAATTATATTTAAGGATGTAAAGGACAACTCTTTTAATAATATGATAATTCTTATGAAGGTTAATATTTGATATAGAAAAAATATTTATAAACAAAGCAAAAAATATTATATTCAACATCTAAAAAAAAATTTGTGATATTGAAAAATATTTCATTGCTTTTTTATATTATATAAGTATAATATTTTTGTATTCACCGCATCCAAAAAAAAGTGTGCGTTTTTTCTAATCCTTTTTGCAATGTTGATACATGCACTGAAATGATTAAAAAATATGTATACGTATCATAATAATTCTTCACATTAATTAAATGAGGAGTAAAAAAAATAGAAATAAACAATTTCTTACAATGAAACAAAAAAATTAAAATAAACATGATATATGTTATAATGCATTTGTTCTTGGAATAATTAACTTATTTGTAGTAATGTATCAAAAATTAATATAAAAATATGTTGATATATAAGATTTATAATATTAAAACATATATAGAAGAAGATGTAAAATAAATAAGAAATTGAAAATTATTCATATATATGCATACATAATAAATACAAATAAACGTATCTATATTATTATTTTACCAAAAAGTATGATATATATAGAAAATAAATGAATATAATATATTCATTTAAAATCGCAATTTGAAATTTTTACCTCCATTAATATGTAAATATATATTTTCTATATTTAATTATACATTATATAGAGTTTTATATCATAGAGACTACTCATTCAAGAAAATTACTGTGTATTATAATAGGATATATATGACATTTACATATTTTTTTTATCCACTTCTTATTAAAGAAAGAGATATTTTTTAGATATTAATAGAACATTTGTTACGAATATTTTAATTTCTATACAGAAAAATTAATATAAGCTTTTTACTATAATTATTACTATACATTTATATGAACACATTATAAGATGATTTTCGAATATTAAATGTTTAATACCATTTATTTTGTTTAAATCAAATAATTGCAATGCTTGATGTATATAATGAAAGAATTAGACATTATGATATAAAATATTGTGTTTACTATTCATAGCAGCACTGCTCACATTATGGTACGATTGGAATATAATATAATCTTCATCTATATTATTCCACTTATTTCGTTTTCTTCTTATAGTTCCTTGAAAGCATGAATTATATGGGATAAACTAGTTAATAAAAAAAAATATATTTTAAATAAATATTATATTAAATTTATTTTTATAATTATATAAAAAATTTATTTTGTACAACAACTATGTATACATAATATAATAATTACATTATGCAGAATAAATAAGGTTATTGATATTAATAATATCACAACAATTGTAATTACAATAGGAATTGTTATATTATATTTTTGAAACAAGGGTAACTTTTTATATGATAATTGTACAGAACATTTAGTTGTACTTAGTTCATTATATTTTTCCCTAACATTTTTTAATTCATTACAAAAATTAGAGTAACTATTTAATTCACATGAATCTTTGTATTTCACATATAGAGCAGAGCATTCATTGGCACAACTGCATTTATCTGCACATTGAGAACTATTATTTTCTTCTATATTATCTAGATTAGTGTACATGACATGCAGATCCTTGAGCTTCGACATTACATCATCAGTAATAGTAGTGCCAATATAAGTTTTGCATAATTCTTGATGAGCTGTACTATCAGCAGAGATCAATTCATCATAAAGTTTTTTAACTTCTACAATATTCCTTTCATTATTATTATTATAATAATATAGCCAATAATACAAATATATGCAACTGGAATTGTAAGACACATTTGTGTCTATATTAGTTTGTATAGCGTTCGTATAATTATCAAATTTTTTGCATATGGTTTCAATATTACTAAAACCTGGAAATGTTTTTCCTTTAATTTCTTTAAAATTAGCGTCATTCAGAATACTACCTGTTTTATCAGAATTATTCATAATGTTTTCATATTTTAGAAATTCTTTTGCAATTTTATACTACAAAAAAATAAATAATTATAGCATGACAAAAATTATTATTTATTAAAAATTTTTTATTAGCTTTATTATAAAATTATAAGTCTGATAATAAGTAATTTATATTAAGTTGTACAATATCATTAGTCATCCTTTATATGATTATATTCTTTTACACAATATCTGGATAAAACAATGAAATACATATAAATATCTATACTGATCTTTAAAATGATAACGTAAAGTCTGAAGTAGAACAATATTTTAGTTTTTCTTTATTCATTAAATTGATCTAAAAATTAAACTCATACTTTGACAATTAAACATTACACATATGAAAAAAAATAATAATAATTGTAATATATAACATATTTTTTAAATAAAAAAAAGAAAAAATATAAAGATTAATCAAAAGAATTAGAATAAAATAAAAAAAAAATATAGGTTGACTGTGTATAATATTTTTCTAAAATATAAAAATTATATAATTTTACATATAAAATAAACACCAAAAAATAAAATTATCTTATTATATGCTATTAATATAAATATATATTTAATAATTATTATTTCGCATTTGCATTTTATATAGTGATATGTATGATTTAATTAAAGCTATATAAAATATTATAATATAAAATCATAATGAGTATTTAATTTATTTCTCTTATGTAATAAATGAAATGAACTTATTAATGTGCCTTATTAACCTTCCCGTAAAATGGATATCAATACTATTTATTAAATGTTATAATGGATGTAATAATATGTAATAAATAGAATACTATTATATTGCAATCATATATAACCTTCTAATAAAATTATATTTATATTTTTTTATTCAATTCACATATGTGAAGCATATACTTATGCTGCAAAAAATAATATATTAAAAATTTAGACACCCTCAACAAAACGCATGTAATAATTTAAAGTGTAAATATGATTGATACGTTATTTAAGCAATTCGTATTCGTATACTATATTTCAAATTTTTATTTACTTTCATTTCTCAATTATTATCAGTTTTAATAGAAATGAAAAAAATAAATACATGAAAATTTTATTTTTATAATATAATTAATATATAAAATATTTTAAGTCATTATTTTTCAAGAATTAATTACTTCTTATAACATTAGACTAATGTTTTATTTATGGGCATTGAATATATCAAAATTATTCAGTCTAATTATATCATACAAAGCATTTTGAGTTCATACTATAATAACACATGGAATGTACATTTTATTATGTGAATAAAAGAGCGAGATTAAGATGAAAATTGCCCCATATATTTGATCATGTAATGTAAAAAATAATATTTTTTTATAAAAATTTTTTTCTTGATAGAAAAATATATTCACTATTAAGAAATCAAAATATTAATTATCATTACTGATTCTTATCATAAAAAATTTTCGTTGCAATGATATATATTTTTTATAATTCAAAAATTGTTACTTCTCAATTAAATAACAAATTTAGCGCTATAAATAATATATAATTCTTATTAGTAAAACACAATATATATTAAAAAATTCATATTCTATATGTTTAAGTTTTAATTAGTTAAATATATAACATATACAATTATAATTGTGCTTTAAAATAAATATTATTATGGTTATGAATCTATAATAATGATGCTCTTGAAAAAGTATAGAATTGTTTTAGTTATGACATAATTGAATTCTTTATAATATAAAAATATATTAATAAATTAATATTTCTTTATTGATGTATTACATTATATAAAATGACATTAATTAACATGAATAATGTGTGACTTATTATTTAATTTCAAATATTAATGATGAAAACGCCTCATTAAAAAAAGTATTATATATTAACTCTACGGAGAATGGGAAGCTCGTACACAAATATAACACTGTGAGATAACGGCACATGGTTCTTTAAAAAATATAAAACAATATATATAGCCTTCTTTGTATAGCACACTAATGAGTTCATTAAACTGTGCCAATGAGACAACATTATTAAATAGAGAGTATATGGGCTATGAATAAAATTACAAATATAAAAAAAGGGAACATATTAAATACATATATCCAAATGAATAAATACATTGCTTAATAAAGAATTAGGTAAAACTCTAAACTAATGTATAATGACAAATGAAAAGAAATATGAAATACATAATGAACCGTTATTTAAGGTCCTGACGAATTTTATAAAGAATCTGTACATGGAAAAAGTATTGAATATATAAATATATAACGAAATCATGAACAATTTTTGTAAAAAAAACATATGTAATATATAATGGATATACTTTTATAATATTCTAAATATATAATATGCAATTCATAAAAAATATATATTATCCATATAATATCCACTAGATTTATAAGAATATTCAACATAATATAATCGTATAATGTTTATGTAAAAACCCCATACATATATTTATAAATTTGATTATTATTTTTATAAATATTACAAATACTAGATGTGAGAATAGTGCTAGATAAATATTCTTCTGTAAATTATTATTAGGATTGTTATAATGTTATGTATATATGCTGCAGTAAAAAATTAATAAAAACAATAATTTTAAAAAAACCTAAAAACACTAGAAATATATTATACAGGAAATATAACAACAATATATTATGCTGAAAAAATATATGGTAAAAATAGTTACTTTTCCTTAAATTAAAAGTAATATTTATAAACCATGCTCACAATGTCCTTCAATATTGAGCAACATTTTCTAATATATTCCTATATAATATTATTTCCATTCCATATTTAAATGTAATAAACCATGTTTAATAATGCTTATTTATATTCAATACCTTATTTTTTCAATTATTTATGATATACGGCAACAATAGTGCAAATGATTATGAAGTTCCTCACACTCATACAAAAACAATGTTATTAAAATATATTTAAAATATAAATTAATCATTTTTACTTAATGAATAGAATTTTATAAAGGTATATATTGTTCATTCATATATCTTTTTATAAATAGAGACATCTATATATTTCTGACACTAACGTTTTCGTATACATAACATTTTTTTTACGATATATAATGTTCTCATAAATACGTAATATATAATACTATTCTTTATTAATATAAAATTAAATTTTCATTCTTGTTTGTGTTACATTAGATTTATTTCTTCTACTTTTCAAGATTTATTCTATAATATATGTTTTTTAAATTTATACATTAATATTTTTATTATTCTTTATTAATACAGTGTAATACTAATGAATTTTACTTCTTTTCATTTATATATATAAT